TACAACTACCTTATGTTTCTTGTCTGGTTTCAAGAATAAATTATTGATGAGGTTTCCAAATTCTGGATAGATTCCTTTTTTTTTTTTTTTTAATTCTCTTTGATGTTAAAGAATTTGTAGCTTTTATGCAACATGGGGTGAATTTGGATGTTGACTAAACCTTCATAAGAAAAGAAATAAAGGATAGCTACAGTATCTGTATAGGTGTGTAATCATAATGATTTTGAAATGAAAAAACCCAACATATAAAAAAGGAGACGCCTTCTATGTAATGTATTGCATGATTAATGTGTAAATATTACAGTCTGGAAAAAATCTAAGAAACTAAAAAGCAGCTTTGTGGCAGAGAAAATCACACTTTTGCTTTTTTTTTTTTTAACTTTTGCATCTTATGGTATCTTTGGCATATATCAGAAAGGAAGACATTTTATTTAAAATTGCTAGGATCTAAAATTTGTGTTTGCCCATCTTAATTAAAAGAATTTAGTAAATTCTAGAAAAATAGGTTGTCTAGAAATCCATTGTGTCAAATATATTTTGCCTGAGATTGTTGTCCAAACACTTCTTGAACTCTGTCAGGCTTGGTGCTGTGACCACTCCCCTGCAGAGCCTGTCCCAGTGCTCAACCACCCTCTGGGTGAAAAACCTTTTCCTGATATCCAGTCTAAACCTCTCCTGACTCAGCTTCATGCTGTTTCTTCGAGTCCCATCACTGGTCCTGAGAGTGAAGGGATCGGTACCTGCCCCTCTGCTTCCCCTCGTGATGATGTTGAAGACCACAGTAAGGCCTCCCCTCAGTCTCCTCTTCTCTAGGCTATTTTTATCCTCTTGAAATTCAAGGCTGCAGAAGAAATCCAGACTACCCATTAGTTCAATCATCAGGAAACAAGTAAGAACAGTATCCAGGTCTTGGTGGGGTTTTTCTTTATTTGTTTTTGTTTTTTACAAATGTAAAACTTTTAACTTCTACGCGCAGATTAACCATTTTGCTCACCTAAGCAGCACGGCTGTTTCACCAGTTAAATGTATGTCTAGTTGGGACTGGTGAGCAATACTCAGTCTGGCTGCTGTCTGAAACCCTACTGTAGATAGGTTCATCCCCTTATTCCATATTAAATACATTAAAAACAAACCCCAAACATAAATGCTGAATACAAAGTTTCAAAGCCTAGTAGTGATCTTTGCAATCCTAACACTGTGAAACAAGTAGCCAAAATACAAGCATACAATTTTATCAAGGAAATTTCTTTAACAGGACAACTAGGCTAGAGCCTGTCTGTGACTTCAAAGCTATGTAGTTAATCAGGTCCCAAAATGAAATGAGAACCATATATCCACTGCCAGCTCAAGAAAATAAAATTCGAGAGTTCAAGATTTGTTGTAGTATTGCTGTTTCTAAGAATTTCTTTAGATATATTATAAACAGGTGATGTTCAGGTAGCCATATTGCATCAAATGACTGATTTTGCAGTGGGTGAAATTCCTCGTGAGGATAACTTGCTTCAACATTAATGCCTTAATATTAAAAATAAAAAGGTTTGTCTTAATGCTGAAAGTAAAAAACTCTTAAGGTTTAAGTTTGTTTTATCCAAACATGTCAGCAAAATCCCACTTGTGAGTAGCACATATGTTTTTATAAACTAAAAGCACACTATTCTGTTGTTTCCTTGCTTTTAGGGGGGATAAAACCTGAATACATGAACTGGGTCATCAGATACTGAATAGTGCTGGTTGATAGGGAAATGTACAGTGTGTTGTGTTCAAAGGGACATTTTTTCCTCCAGTTGTTACATGGTCAACACTGAAGCACATCTCCTGGTATTGGTTATTAGGAAAAAAATAACGGGTCTTGATTTTCAACCTTCTCTGAAACTGTAAAACATCACAAAAAAGAAATCAGTTTCTACTTTTGTTAAATGCATGTCCTCCATGAGGGGGACTTTTGAAACTCTTTGATGCTGTGCTGTGCTGTAAGTGGTCAATAGAACTACATGATCCCAATTCGGGGGTAGAAACGAATATTTATTGAACACGCCACTCGCAATATAAAGGCCTTGGAGGCAGGACATGTTAATGAAGAGGACGGGTTATGCTAATCAGGGGATGGATTATGCTAACTAGATGATTACAAAATTCTCTGCTACAGTTACACAAGTGGTTAATATTTTCCAGTAGCGAGGACCATATGGGGGGAAGAGAACAAAGGGGCTTCTACATCATCCAACAACATCATCACAAAGTCTTTCCATATCTTGCTGAAAGAGACAGGACAATCAAACATAGCTAAATATTAACGGATCTTGTGATGAAGCTCCTCAGAGTAAGGAGTTTCTCCCAGCTTCTGCTGTCCAGGCCTGCTACATAATTTTATTAGTTCCTTTTCTGCTGATAGTCAAGTTTCGGATTCCAACACTATGCAATGCTTAAAAATAATTTTCTCCTACCAAGTAAAATAAATCTAGGAACTTGGGAAGAAGGGAATTAGGTGAATAAGTCCTAGCTTTGTTTTTTGGTATACCTGCAAACAAATCCACTTGCCAACTGATATTTTAAATTTTCATTCTCATCAAAATGTAAAATTGATATTTATAAAAATTATTACTTTTGTAAATCCCTTAAGCTCTTTAACTGTGACATCGCACACAAAGATGTGACATGAAACTGCTATAAGACACTCTCCCTTATCAGCCTGAAATCCATTTACTGGGTCTCATATTATAGAGGGACATGAACTAGATATGCCCTCATGTATGAAGTCTTCTGACTTTTCCCCTGCTATCTCCCAGCAAAACCATATACTGCTGTAACTGGAGAACATTTCACAAGCTGCATGTACTTAACAAGAGCCTCATAAAGTGTTCTTTTAGAGATGCCAGCAGAGGTCACAGACCTGTTTTATGATGTTCTTCCAAGCACAAGAGCTGGTTTTAGCCTTGCAAACACTTCCCAGGGCTTCCCCCAGAAAACTCACACTGACAAAGCAGTGAACTATCATGATTTGTTTCCATTCCAAAGTTACACTCACTCATATTATTGTTTGCTCAGAGATGTGCAAAAAAAACCCTGTGTTGAAGAAAGACCTAGCCCCTCCTCAGATGCAATTTATATTATGCTGTTAATGATTAAGAAGAGCAAAGGAGTATGGAAGATAAATCTGTAGTGTAAGATTTTATCTTCAGTTCCCCGTCTTATTTAGATCTCAGATTTCACCATGTATTTGGAGTGATATATTTTCTGAATTTCATTAAAAAAATCTCATTTCTGGATTTTGCTCACCTTTTTCTTCTCCATTTCTTGTCTTGCACTATTGCAAATACAGTTTAAATGTCAATCAACTTTTGTCCTTATATTCTTTCCCTTCCTGTCTTTCATGAAAACAAAAATGGACACTGCCTTAAGACTTGATAGGAATAGCTTCTCAGTGTTTCTATGACACAAAACAAGAGTTAAGGGAGGGTAATAACAGAATAATATTTTCTAATCAAAAAATAATAGTCAGAAAGTGGATTGTCTCTTGACTTTCTGAGCTCAGTTTTTTCTCTCTTTTGTTTTTAATTGTCCACAATTACTTCTAACTTTTATATGTGCTTCATATGCATGTTGTTGCCCAGCAGATGCTTTACTGTTTCCAAATGACATTTTACACTTTAAAGAAATCAGCTTTCAGTGAAGTGCCATCCTTTGGTACGTGTGTGCTTGTTCATCAGAAATGAAATACTTCAAGCAGGCATGTCAGTTCCTATACATTTCTGCTGAAAGGTAGGAAGCTTCAAGTGGCAATCTGTCTGGTTTGCTGTCAGTTTACACGACAGCGCTCGCTCTGGTCAGCCAGAGCACCCCAGCTACCTGACTGCTTACAGCATTATGACAGGGACAGCCTGGTAGTCTAAAACCTAGGGGTTTCTCCTATATTTTTAAGTAAAAGAATTGATTTGTGGTCTACTAAACCTTCAGATAAAACCCTTGAAACCTGGAGTTAGGCTGTTAGGAATTCTGAAGATTTAAGATCTCAGTTCTCAGCAATACCCCCACCTTATCCCTGGCCATTACCCTCAGCACTTAGTGGCCTCTCTGACCATCTCATGGAGTCTTTGCCAAATTCCCCCACAGTTACCTACTGGGTAGTGAATACTTGAGTCTGACTGACTGAAGTTCCCCTGGCTGCAGGCAGCTGGCTGTGACTGGTCTGTCTCTCTCTGCCTATCCTTCTGGAAAGTTCTGCTTGCTCTGACCACAGCACAGCCGTTTGCAGATAAGTGAAGAGTAAAAAAGGCTTTCCAGTCTCAACCCTATGCCAAAATGCCACTCCATCTACCCTGTATAGCATACACAATCCTGTAACTGTTCATACAGATTGGTTTATCTTTACATTCCAAATATTAGTGTATGCTCATTATAAACTCTGCATTTCATCACTGTGGCCAAGACAATAATCATAAAATCATAGGATTGTTAAGGTTGGAAAAAACCTGTACGATCATGAGGTCCAACAATTAACCCTGCATTGACATCTTCACCACTAAACCGTGTCTCAAAGCATCACATCTAGATATTTTTTGAACACTTCCAGAGATGGTTACTCCACCAGTTCCCTGGGCAGCCTGTTGCAGGGCTTGACCACTCTTTCAGTGAAGAAATTTTTCCTAATGTCCAAACTAAACCTCCCCTGGTGCAAGTTGAGGTGATTTGCTCTTGTTCTGATGTTTGTTACCTGGGAGAAGAGACTGGCACCCTCCCCTTGCTACTCTTTTCAGGTAGTTGTAGAGAGCAATAAGGTCTCCTCTCAGCCTCCTTTTCTCCAGGCTAAACAACCTCAGCTCCCTCAGCTACTCCTCATAAGACTTTTGCTCTAGTAATATTCCTATTATGTCCCACAAATTCACCCTTTTCCATTGAGAACTAAATAATCAGTTTTAACATTATACATATATTGAAAGTATAATTAAAACAGAATTCTTACTTTCACTAATTTCTATTTTGTGGTACGGTGAGTCACGTACCTGCAGTTCTTGTGGCATATTGTGTTTTGTCAGCTATGTTGTCAGCCTGTCAGTGTTGATAAAGCTTTTAGTAACAAATAAAAAACGTTAGGAGTGATTTTTAACATAAATTTAATCAAATTCCTAAAAGGTGAAGACTAGGCCTAATCTGAAACTACTTTCATTTATTTCTGAGAATAAAAGACACAGCAGAAGTCTTGTTGTGCCATCCTTTGTGTGGCAATTCCTCTTGTGTCCTGTACAGTCGGTTTTTGTGTGAGTCTGCACAGATGTGCATTCTTCAAAAATTGAAAGATGAAAGATTGCTTAGTTAATTTTGACAAGGTACAGGTGCTACTATATATGCTAAAAAACTTGATAATGTCTGAATTATGAAGAAATAGGTATTTAAGTGCATAACTCAGTAAATCAATAACACAATGATTATGAGTTTTTATTTTACTTCTAAGATACCTCTTATATTACCTATAATTTAGTAGTAAAATATTCTGTCACGGTTTATATAGACATTTTCAAGGTAAGAAAAATGCACATTTACTTATAGCTAACATGTCGATAATAAAACCCACTTCATAGAATAATCTTATTTTTTTTCTTTACAGCTAGAGATTATAAAAATTATTTTAAAACATGCTGTGAAATTTTGGGTAGTCTCTTGATTTGCTTGGGTCTTATATATTAATATTTCTAGAAACTAACAGAACAAGATATATTCTATGTCTCATATATGTGTATGTTTGTGTAAATACATATACAGATATATCCTGCACATTCTTTGAGGAAGTTGCATAGTCATTCTTACAGAGAGGCGCATGTTTATGCCTCACAACTTAAACAAAGATTTCCCTTTAAGTATCCACAGAACACTAATCTGCTTCTTCTGTTTGCTGAGGGTTTGGCACACAAAATGGAATGTCACCACTTCAGCTCCTATCTTACTGTTTGCCTATCCTACTGAGACAGAATCCTTCTACTTCTGTTGTATCTTGCTACCTTTCCTTCCTCCTTAGCATTTGGTGACTTCTCTAAAGGCCATTTTGGCCTTGTGCTATCAATCAACATCCCACTTCAACCTGTATTGTGGGTGTTTGTGCTGCCTCAGAATCTCCTCCCCAAGCTCCTACCTGTGTTTTGAGCCTCAGGTAAAGTGAGCAGGGATTCCAGTCCTAGACCTTATTGCTTTAGAAGCCTCACAGGTCTCATCTGACATCACAATCAGACAGCTGCTCTAGTGATCGTTTGGGTTCAAAGGATACCTTGAAGATCATCTAGTTCCAACCCCCCCCCAGGTTGCTTTGAGCCCCATCCAACTTGGCCTTGAACACCTGCAGGGATGGGGTATCCACAACTTCTTTGGGCAGCCTATTTCAGTGCCTTACCATCCTCACAGTAAAGAATTTCTTCCTAATATCTAGTCTAAACTTATTCTCTTTCAATTTAAACCCATTCCCCCTTGTCCTGTCACTACATGCCCTTGTAAATAGTCTTCTGCCATCTTTTCTCTAAGTTCCCTTCAGGAACTGGAAGGCTGCAATTAGGTCACCCTGAAGCCTTCTCTTCTTCAGGCTGAACAATTCCAATTCTCTCAGCCTTTCCTCATCCACCTAACAGTCTGCCCATCGAATCCATCAGCCTCCAATTTGGACAGAAGGATGCTGGGGGGGACCGTATCAAAGGCTTTACAGAAGTGCAGATGAATGACACCTGTAATTCTTCCCTTATCCACTGATGTAGGTACTTCATCATAGAAAGCCACAACATTGGTCAGGCAGGACTTACCCTTGGAGAAGCCCTGCTTCTCGAATCACCTCTCAGTCCTCCATGTGTCTTAGCACAGCTTCTAGGAGGACCTGTTCCATGATCTTCCCAAGCACAGAGGTGGGGCTGACAGGTCAGTCATTCCCAGGATTGTCCTTGCTTCCCTTCTTAAAAGTGGATACTATGTTTCCCTTTTTCCAGATGTTTAAGTGCATGCCCTTCAGAGAAATAACTTAAGTTTGTCACAGGTTTATGGATATTCTCCACTGTTTTACTTCCTTTACTATTTCTCTCCCTATTAGGGGAGTGAGGGTATCTAGTTGAAATTGTATTCATCACCTTATCAAGTAGCAAAGGTAGTGGACTGCAGCAAGATGGAATACTCACATGGGCTCCATAGTCCTTTTTGTATGTTCACCTAACATCCCTTTTCATTGTAGCTGAAAGCCACAAATATGCTTCTTTCCCTCAGTAAAAGAATGACAATGAGAAGAGTTTGGGGTGGGGGACTTCATTCTGTTAATGTATTGTTTGATTGTGGTATTTTTTCCTGAATGAAATTTTTTGTGCTTTTCCTCAGAATTCACATCATCCTCCCGTCAATTGACCCCTCTCAAGTCTCAGGTCTTTTCTTGTTCCCTCCCAGCTGGTTTTATAATGAAACAAGAAGTAATCTACATAGACATACATAACACAAGGTGTAACCAAACTGTCATTACTGTGTTGCTTACTTAACCAGGCAGAAGTCCAGGTGTAAGGAGTTCTAGTTGAAATTTTCATTGCAAAATGAACAACTTATGCAAAGTCTTTTTGTCTTCTAAAAACACTATTTTTAAATCCACCAGTGAAATATGTGCTGCTGATGCAACTGTATGAGCTGTTTTCTAAACTGATTAAGCACTCTTAAATCCTGTACTGATACACAGGTATGCATGAGATCTCTATCTTTGTATATAATTCATATATAGCTTATAATTTTATATATACCTCTTCACAGTCTTACCATGTAGTATTATTATGAAGTAAGGAGCTGTAAATTCAAATTAAACTCTCTCAGTTCTGAAGTATTTGCTTCAGTCTACAGACTGCATCAGGTTGGGACAGAATAGCATCTCTTAAAATCTACAGGGGTCAAAACTTGGATTAAAGGAGATATTTTGAGTGAATCGAACTATAGTTGCCAGAAACTCCTCAATTAGATTTGCTATTATAGTTGGAGAGAAGAAATTTGGATATCATAGTGGGATATGGAGTAATGAGAAGCCATATTAAGTCTTTGTTTCCTGTCATAAGGAACAATGATTCTTCCCTTCTTCTACGACTTTTTTCTAAACCTACAACCTATGGGAAACAGAGCAAAGCCTCTGCTTTGTAAAAATTCTCTCTTTAAAGGTATCTAAAACCCAGCAGTTTTCTTTCTTAGTCCTTTGCATCTGATGTGGTCTTTGCACCTCAGGCAGAAGCAGTATCTGTCCTGTTCCTATTTCTCCTTCATAAATTCTAATTCAGTGTTTTAAGTTTCTTTGCTTTTAAACATTTGGAGGCTCTTTTTAAACTGAAACATATTTTAAGACTTCGAAAAAAGTTAGTGCTTTTTCTGCTTAGTTTAGTTACTGCTACTTGTCTGTGAGGTAAGCCTAGAATTCTTTTCCTTAACTGCACTGGGGGTCATTTACTCTTGTACTGTCGGAACATTATGTGAAATGACCTATGTGACTATATAGATTATATCAGTAAATATTGATATCACTTTCCTTATTTTTAGACTAAATTAAAATCCTCTGTAAAGTATGTTACTGTAGTGAGTTTCTGTGGCTGGGTTTTGGTATCTGACCATCTATTTTGGTTTCACAAGAGGTTCTAAAATAGAATATGTAATTCTAAAACAGAATTACTTGTACAAATAATTTCAATGTCCACTGTATTGGTTTTATAAGTAGCAAGTAGTCACTAAGGTTGGATTTCATGAGTAAACTGAGGAACTAACTTCCTCCAACATAATTAGACTGATTTCTTGGTTGCTTTTGTTTTCTTTTTTTTTTTTTTCAGATGAAGTGAAGTAACTTTGAAAGTGAAGTAAAATAACTTTGTTGAAGCTAAATAGTAGGAGGGTCAGAAATAGCACAGTGTTTCTTTTTGATTTCTTGCATACACTTGGTTGTGTTTATCACAGCTGGTCTGCACTAGGCTTGCTATTTCCAGGTCCACTTTTAATTGTAGGTCCAGGTCCTTTTAATTCCAAGTCCTCTTTTAATTGCATGGAATACATCAGGTATGTATTGAAGAATTATCTGAAGATGCAATTTATAGGAAAAGCTGTTTATTTCCCACATAGGTAAAAACAGGCCTGTAACAAGGATGCAGAAATGTGATGCAAAACATACTTATTACTATTCTTAAGGAAAGATTTATAATTTATCAGTGACTAATTGGAAGAGTGCTTTACTTACACATTGAGATAGGCTTGATGTAAAAACTTGTTACTTAAGAAACTTAGAGTATAAATTGTTATATTTTTAAAACTATAGAAGTCTTATTATAGTTATTAATTTCACCTTCTCCCTTGAAAATAACTGTATTACATATATGTTAATTGTACTAGTATCATAAAATTGAAATGAAATTATATTTTTGGTAGTGAGATTAATATGGCTTGTTGTTGTTCCCTGTATATCTGAAGTGCCTATGTAAAATAATGCATCTTTCAAGAAAGATGTATTTCATCTTTTTCTCTCTAGGACATATCTATCTCTATGAAAAGTCTTGTGGCCAGTTCTACAAAGCATACCCAAATTAGTTTCTGCGTTATGATCTTGCACAAGACAGGTTAATCTAAGTGCAATTGCAAGCAGTCTTTATCCTGTTTGTATTGAAATATTTTTTTTCTTCCAAAATTATGTCATTGCTTTTAAAACAGTTAAATATAACTGTCATCAGAAAACTCATGAATCCTACATTTCTGAAAGTTTTATTCAAAATTGTTACATCACACTTGATATTTCATGTGAATTGAACTTCTGGTATTAAGTTGCATGTGTCCTGCCCTCTGCTGTAATCCTCATTGCTATGGAACTGTCTTCCTCAAACAATTACAGACTGTCAACGACACAACATAGAACAGTGTTCACCTGGTTGTAGTATGCAATGAGACCTCAGCTTAGAGAAAAAGGAAAAAAGTTAGTAGAATGAGAACAGAATGCTGATAATGGAGAAAAATAAACTGAATCAAGTCAGATTTCCGTCTCTTGTATGACGATTTGTAATTCATGTTTTCTGAATTTTGATAGTATTACAGAGAGACAGAGGTCATTAGAGCATTCTTGTTTATGCACTCTATTTACATCATTCATGTATAAGCACGCATGCATACACACACCGGTTGTGAGGCAATGGGAAAAAACTTGCACAACAACATTTACAACAACCAAAGGAACTGTATAAAATAATTCAGATAAAAGTGCGAAAAGGGAGCTCATAAGATTGTTTTCAGTGTTTCCCCACAACTGATGTTAGAACTGAAATTTTTACTAGATAAACCATAGTAATTATGTCCTCAATTTCTTCCTAATTTTGCAATTTTCTTCTCTTGCCACAATATATGCCTACTTAAATATATTCTGCTGTTGTCCGCAATAACTTTTTGGTACTATGCTTGAAAAAAGGAGCTATATAAAATATCTTATGTTTTAAAATGAGCGAACAATCTCTGACTTAGAGATGGATCTGGGAGGACTCATGATACAGATTCAAAATAAATCTTTTCAAAATCTCAGAACTGAAGACTGATTGCTTATTTGGGCCACATATAAATCTTCTAACTTTACAAAATGAAGAGTAAATTCTATGCTAAGTGTGGTCTAGATTCTGTGCTAGTGGTAAAATTGTTGTTGGCTTTTACAATAAAACATAGATGTATGAGTAAAGCACTCAATATCAGAGTAAAATTTTTCCCCAGTTTAATTGTGTAGAATCAATAAATGCTCTAAAGAAAACATCATCTAGAAATCTAATATAAAACCATCTGGAAAATACTTGGCAGAAACATTATTTTTGGTGGTTTTGAGAGGTAAAAAGTGATTGTTGAAGAATTAGATGAAATAAAATTTACTAAAAAAGAATCAAAGACTGTTTATGCAGAATAAATATTTTACATGACCTGAGGAAAACAATTAATTATATGTAGCACTTAATACCTATGTGCCATTTTTCCTCAGTTAAAATAGTTTGTTTTTCTTACTTTGTTCAAAGACTCTTTGTGTGATCTAGTTTGAAAGAAAAGCCAGAGGAGGAGCATTATAGCAAGTATACTGCAGAGATGACAAATGATGTTGAATCCTGTATGGGCTTTGGTAAGGCTGTACCATAGGGAACCTGCAGAGGTATCACAGCTTT